GGAAATACTGAGGCTTTGCAGCAGTTCTTGAATACAGCCAGAACTAAAGCTATTAATTATTCCTGGAGACCTAAAATACTACCATGACTCACTGGTCAGATGGGGGTGTGTAAGAGTCAGATGGCCTGAGAATATCTCCCTTTGGGTCTAGGGGGATAACACACCCATCCTGTGATTCTTTCCCTGGTCCTGGAATGTACAATCAGCAAAGATATACTTAGTACATTGGTCTTTTGACCCATGGAGTGAAGGCTGTTATTATAGGAGGGGACCATGAGAAGCCCCTGAAACTTGTGCCAATACAGTAACCTGAAAACACTGCATCCTCAGGGCAGTGGAGAACTGTGCCCCCATCAGAGACTCAAGAGGTGCAGGGCAAGTGGTTCACCATCGCCATTTCAGTTGCCTGTCTCACTGGGTCCTAGAGAAGGACTGTGTGAATCTGGTGTCTTTACTAGCAAAGATCTGCTCAGCTCCTGCCTGACACCTGGTGTGCCCCTGGTATGCACCTGGAATGTTGCCTGGTGACTTACTAGAGCCATTCTGAAAGAGTGGTCCTGGGATCAGCAGCTTTAATATCACCTTGGAGACTGCTAAACTTACAATTTCTTAGGATTCCACTCAAGACCAGCTGAATTAATTCTGGGGCTAGGGCCCAGAAGTTGTGCTGGACGCATGCTGAAGTTTGACAACCACTGTACCAGAAAGGACTTTCTACTCTATCTCAGTCCATAAACACAATCTGACAGACTTCACCCTCACCTGCTGGGAGACTGGGGTGCCTTGAGCGTTATCTCAGGGATTTGCCAATTCTCCCTCTCTTATTTTGACAGCCTGTAGAATTTCATGAATGCTGGTTATATTGATGATGTTATGCTATTTGATCTAGTGGGAGGAACTAACTAGTGCCATAAATGGCACCTGGTAGCTGGATGGGGAGAGAAGACCCATGTGTGGAGGTTCAGGGACCTGCCTCACTGATGAAGTTTCATGGATTCTAGCAGTCTGGGGTGTGTTGGAATAACCCATCTAAGAAGAGAAACAAGTTTCTTCCTCTTGCATCTTCTACCATGAAGGCTTAATGAGTCTCTTTGGAGTTTTGAGGGAAGGATAGAATATTTGTGTGTGGCTCTCTGATGCATTTACTGGGTACATCATAAGTCTGCTGGTTTTGGATGAGGCTCAGTATAATAAAGGGCTGTAGAACAATCTAGACTGTGATAAAAGCTACCCTTCCATTTGGGCCTTCCACAGCAGACTCAATGGCACTGTAAGTGTCTCTTGCAGGTGCAGATGCTGAGGGAACCCCTCCCCCTCCCCAATAGGAGAATCACAGTGCTGACCCAACTGTGCAGAAAGATGGGGCTCAAGACAGTCTTGGGGAGATGTGTTTGAAAGGACATCTACAAAGGGGTCCCATTTGCCAAAATATTCCAAGGCTATTCAAACGCCTAGCAGAAGGTATCCACAGCAGATGAGGCTCTCAATAATCAGGTGGGTAAATGACCCAACCTGTCCACTCTTCTGTTTACTCAATGGCACCATGAATAAGTGGCTATAGTGAAAGGGACAGAGGCTACATGTGGGCTCAGTAATACAGATTGACCCTCACTGTGGCTCATCAGTTTCCAGTGCTTCTGGATATGTAGGCTGTCTGTGGATGGGGCTAAGGCTAAGCCTGTAATATGGCTCCATGTGGTGTGTGATGGGAGACAGGATGGCTCCTGGGTGGCAAGTTAGTTACACTAGATCCCTTCATTACAGAGTGTAGTAGGACACACATGCTCTTGATACAGAGCTGCCCTCCGTCCTCTCCACCACTTGTGGTGCTTTTGTTCTGTGCTGCGAAGAAAGCACACCACAGACTGGGTAATATAAAATAAACAGAAATGTTTTTGGCTCACAATGATGGAGGCTGGGAATCCATAACTGAGGGGCTGGCCTGTGGCAAAGGCATCCCTGCATCATAACACAGTGGAAAGCATCACAAGAGAGCTGACAGCACTGTCTGTTCACTCTGCCCTCATCACCTCTCACTGTGGCACTGGGAATCAAGTTTCCAACACGTGAACTTTGGGGGGCACATTTAAACCATAGCACATTCATCTCAGCAAATCCCACAAACATAACCATTGCTTAAGGAACTCATTTCCAAAGCAGGTGCAGCTGTAGGCTCATACCCATGAAACCTACTAGTTTACCATGCGCCTCGTCACCCAGAAGCCCTTAGCATGGGTAATAGGGTCAGTTATGGAGGCTGATCTCCAGGGCGGTATTTACTGTAAACCACAGGCCAGTGCAGTATGTATGTGTGGTCTTCACCCTCATTGCAAGACCCTAGTCTGGGAACCAGGGGACAGTGGTGAGAGTGACTCTTCTTTTGAGATTTTGTTTTCCATCCTTCTAACTTTAGGTTTGGTGGGTTTGGGAACCCCCAGTGACTGAGAAGAAGGGCACCCTCTAGGGAACACAGGTTACAGGTCGGTTAATTAGAGACTAAGGTGGTTCTGTGCCATTTGGGGCTTGTCATGTTGAACCAAAAGGCAGAGGAGGGGATGCCTGTACTATCAGGGTGGTTCACCCCAATATCCAAGGGAAAATGGGGTTTCTGCTATACAATGAACCCTTCACTCCAATCCCTATTCTATAAATCTGGAGCAGGGACATGCACTTTTATTTTTAACAAGCTACCCAGAGATGCCAAAGCATCTGTCCTTGGACAACAGTTTGCAGGGCACTGTCCTAGAGCCCGTTAATCCCTTCTGAGCCCTCTGAAGTGCTCCAGGTGAGACCTTCAGGTCTCTTCACATTCTTTAGGGATCTGTGGACACTGGAAGCTCAGTGAAGACAGTGCACCAAGCATTGGGAGCCTTTGTGAATGACGGTTTGTGTCATTCCACCAGAGCAAATGGCTCATGCCTGCAATCCTAGCACTCTGGGAGACCCAGGCATATGGATTGCCTGAGTTCAGGAGTTTGAGAACAACCTAAGCAAGAGTGAGAACCTGTCTATACTAAAAACAGAAAAACTAGCCTGGTATTGTGGCAGGCACCCATAGTCCCACCTACTTGGGAGGCTGAGGCGAGAGGATTGTTTGAACCCAGGAGTTGGAAGTTGCTGTGAACTATGATGCCATGACACTCTACCATGGGTGGTAGGATGAGAGTGTCTCAATAAAAAAAAAAGAAAAGAAAAGAATACTTCAAGAGCCAAAGGACTGCTAGAAGAGCGAGGGGATGGATGGGGAAGAACAGGTTGGGGTTCCTTCCCAGGCCTTGCAGGCCACCTGGCCACTGTGCTCTCACTAAGTATCCCACTTACTTAGTGGAGGCTATAGGACAATTTAAGATCCAGGTGGGACTAGGACTAAACTGATGCCACCCCAGACAATACAGTGTCTGGGGGTACTTTGTATGTTCCCTAAGGCTGGGGAGAAATTTCTCCCTCATCTATGCAAAATGGTGGGGGGCATGCCGGCTACTTGTCCTTTGCAGGCCACCCAGGGGCCCCTGAATGTCAGCTTCTCTTGTTTTGGACCAATGGGAGACTCAGACAGGAGAATGCAGGGCAGGAGTCCAGACTCCAAGGTAGTTATTTCCCCATCTCTCTTCCCACTGGGCGGTTTGGGATCTCTTTCTGGGCTCTGCAAATGCCCCTCCTGTCGCATGATTGCCAACACTGGGGATAATGGCTCCATCTTGTGGTCTTTCCCTGTTGTTCCCCTTCACCTTACCCAACTTCTGTAAATATTCTTTCATTAAACTCTCTCTAATAATGCTGTGTGTGTACAATCTGTTTCCTGCTAGGACACTGACACATCCCAAAGAGAACCCGCCCAACAAGAGAGTCCTGGCTGGTGACCATCAAGGACATAAGGGCTCGTGTGGCTCGTGTGGGCTTATGTGGTTCTGTCCAATCATAGCACCTGTCTTTGTGCTATGATTGGACAGAACACCTGGGCGCATGAATGTGGCCCGGGAACTCAGTGTGGGCACCTCTCAGCACTAGGGCCATAGGACACTTCAGGTGGTCACCCACCATGCACGCAGGACCAGTCCTCTGCAGTGAAACGGAGGGAAGTGACACCATACTAGTGGACACAACAGGTTTTAAGCAAAACCAGCCTCTCTTAGATCGAGTTAGGCTCTGGGATTCTGAGATAATTTTATGAGACAGGGTGACAGTGGGCTTTCAATTCAGTAAGAACATGTGGAATGACTAATGGAAAAGATAAAATAGCTGCGATGGAACTGTTGTGCCCTTCTATTCATATCCACCTCTCTGCAGGGTGACCACCACTCTGATGTCTTGCTTCTGTGAATCCCACTCATGTCTGGGACTTTTGGCTCCTTCCAGATTGTATGTCCTCGCTTTGTCCACCACCAAAATGTCTTAATGGTCCCCAACACCGCTGCCACACAGCAGATTGTATACCAGACGTTAACGAGGGTTTCCAGTAACATGAAGGGATTGTACCGAGCACAGAACAGGCAACAGATTAAAACTGGCCACTGGACACCACTGTCTGGAATACCCACTAGCCCTGCTCTGCTATGGGGAGTTTCCCTTGGGCCATGTTCTTAAGTCCTGGATTGTGGCCAACTATATAGGCCTTTCATTCTTGGAATACTTTTCATTTCCTCTCTGCCAGCTTTCCAGCTTTCGTCCACTTTTTTTTTTTTTTTCTGAATAGTTTAACTACCTATAACTCCAAATTTCATGTTGGCCACCCAGAAACAAGGGACGGCGTTCTGATCACACAGGACCCTTCTGCCACACTCCAGCAGCACAATGCAAAAACCAAAGCCTGAAATCTCATTTTTTCCTTCCCCTTAATATGATCAAATTCTTAGACAAGTCTCCCTCCCCATGTGTCTCTTAGAAGGAGGGGCTGTTCTTTCAATATTTACTCTGCCCTGTCCTGACCAAGCCCCCAGGGGTCATCATATCCATTTCCATCTTTCTTTGTTCTACTCAGTACTCAGATAAGAAGGAAAACGAAGCAAATCCAAGTATTTAATCATAGACGTCTGTATAATCACATGTGTGTACCAGATGCCGTGTTTGGTAGCCATTAAAATGATACACGTGAGGACTAATAGCAACCACACTGAAGTGTGCTTGTGATGTGATATTGGGAGAGAGTGTGCTCCAAAGTTATATAATTGATGGCATTTATTAAAAAATGTCTCTTGCATGAGGACAACGATTAGAAGGGTCTGTAGGGACGCAAATAAAAATCACTGTTTTATTGGAGGTTTGATATTTATATTTTGCACCCTTTCTGAAATGTTATTATTTCTCCTTGCTGTCAAAAAAAAAAAAGAGAGAGAGAGATAAGACAGGAAATATTAGCAAACCTAGGCTTGGAAAGGAACTAAGTGGGACCCAGGCAGAGCTTCTGACTTTAACAGGCACCTAAAATGCCTGGGGGTCTTGCCAGTGTGGCCTCCTAGGCTCCACCCCAGAGACCTGGAGTCTGTAGGTCTGGAGCTGGAACAAGCCCTTCCGCCACAGTTGAGTAAGCACTGCCCCGGGGCACAGGAAATCCTAATGTGCCTCCAGCGGAGGTAGCTAGGCCTCTCCGGGTGCCTGTGGTCTGTGACTAGATGACTGGGCATTGGATTTGTGCTGTACTGGGCTTTCTGTGTCTATGTCTGGGGTCTCTGAGGTATGCTTCACAGGTAAGGCTGCTACTGTGCCTGGGCAAAGCACAGGCTCTTTCCTGTGCAGATCCTTCTAGGGACCTGGCCCACGCCTCTGCCAGCTGTCCCCTGCACATCCTGAGCCATGCTGGTGGGGGAGGGGATATGGATACACCTGGGAGCACTGCCTGGACAGCTATGGCCTTGTCCACTTTTCAGGGTCAGCTGGTGGTGAGAGTGCTTTGGAAACACAATTCCCAAGTGGCCTGGAATGGGTGGGGATCCAGGGCTGGGAGGCAGGTGATAGAAAGAGAGCCCCGAGTGTCTTCACAGCTGCAGGTCTCCCCAGAGTGGGAAGGCAGGCTGGGCCTATGCTGGCAGAGGAAGGGGAGCTCAGGTGCCTAGTTTCATTTGACAGTGACAGTGATGTCAGTTGGTGGGCATCATGTCCCTAGAGGTCAGGTCTTGGAAGTGGGGGGGATTGCTGTATTCCTCTGACCAGTGTTCTGACTGGAGATCTGGATCTCTCCCTGGGCTCTTCAAGGAAGAGGCCCTTGAAGTTGAGGAAGGCCCTGGTTCGGGGCTCTGCAGGGAGGAGGAAGGAACCCAGAACCCCTGCTCCTCCCAGCATGGACCCCGGGAGTTTAAGAAAGAACAGTACCATCTGTCCATGCTTTCTCGTTTCATCCTCACAACCACCTTGTGAGGTAGACATTATTCCTCCCTTTAAAGATAAAGACATGGGAGCTCAGAGAGGCTAAGTGAGTTATTTAGGGTCACTTAACGAGGAAGTAGAGGAATTGGGACTTGTCATCAGGTTTGTAGGCTCTGATCAATGTTGTTGCTGCAAGGTCACAGATGGGGAAGGAGGGAAGGAAGAAGGGAGGGCCCAGCAGCCCTTACCAACAACTAGTTCCTTGCCCACCAGACATTTCTGTTCAAAGCACTGCCCCTCCTGTCCTTTCATTCATGCAAGATGCATGCAAAAAAAGAAATTTAAAAGTGGCAAGGCTTTTACAATGAGGGAACTGAGGCACAGAGAGGTGAAGTGATTTGCTCAATGTCACATAGGCTTTGAGTAGCCAAAGCATGGCTAGAATCCAGGTCTCCCTGTCCAATATTCATCCCGTGGACTGTGACCCTCACGAGCTTACTAGGTGAAATAATTTTGTGTGAGGAAAAGTGAGATGATTATTAGACCATGACCTATCCACCTGATAGATTACCCTGTATCACTAAAAAATATGGCTATGTAGAGTGATGAAATGGGGCGTCTTAATGCTGTCTTATGAACCCACATAGCATCGAGCATGGAGCATGAGTTTGACTAAAAATCACATGTAGAGAAGGGTGGAAGAAAAGATATCACAAAGGCCCTTCTGGGCAGTGGGATGTGAGTGTTATTTTCCCCCTTTCCTTCTATTTATTTGTATTTCTCCAAATTTCTAAAATGTACATTTTATTTGTACCAGGAAAAATATTTCTCCATATTTTTAGTTTAAAAAAAAATACTGCGTGGAAGCAGCCCAGGTGGTGTGCCTTTTGTGTCCCCTCAGCCCTGGCCAGCCTCTCCATTGCTGGATCCGGGTGGCACTCAGCTTGGGCGGGACCTCTTCGCTGGGTGGGCATCTCTGTGTGCTACTTTGCATTTTAAGGACTGTCTTCCCCAAAGGAGAATTCTGCTGTGCATTGGGGGGAGGGGACAAGGGGTGTCTGTGCTAGATTTAATTCTGAAAGGAGCACAGGAGCCGGGGAGGGTGACCACCCCGTTTCTAGCCCAGTCCCCTGCTCTTACCCCCAGGCCACCTCAGAGCACCTGGGCATTTGACTCTGTGCTGGAGTAAGGGCTGGCGAGGTTAAGTGGACCTCCTCCACCCACTAGAGCCACATCCATTCCTCGCCCCTGCAGGCTGGGAGGCCGGTGGCCAGGGGACGCAGGGCCCGCTCTCGTGGAGGCCGCAGCGCCTCAGTCGTCCAGGTGCTGCTCCTCCCAGGTGGACGTAGGGATGGCGCTGTAAGGGTCCATGATGACCTTGGCACAGCGGATGATCATCACCACGAGGAAGAGGCAGAGGAAGACGAAGCAGGCCAAGGTCAGCCCTTTGTCCACGTCAACGAAGACTGGCTCGGGCGTGGGCTCCTCCATCTGCGGCAGCTGTAGGCTCCTCCTCAGGCTCCCGTGCGGCTGGTACCATCTTCCACCCTGGGCAGTGGGAACAGGAAGGTGTGGCCACTTGGCTGGGGGAGGGGCAGGGAGCCCACCCATTGCCACGCCCTCAGCACAAGACTGCCACTCAGGCCGCCATCCCATAGGGCAGTATGGAGGGGACAGTGGTGCCTGTACTCCTCTCAGGAGCCCTAAACTTGTAGGTAACCGGTGTAGGTAACCAAGTCTCAGCCCCGCCACCGCCTTGCCATGCAGGTCTGGGCAACTCTCATCCTGCCGGTGGGGCCTAACCTGACACATCACTCAGTCATTTGGGGGTGATTTACTGATTTCTCTGGGTCCCAATTTCCTTCCTGCAGTGGACAGGGGCCAACACCTGCTTCACAGGGGTGTGAGGCCCTGGCAGGTGAACTCTGGGCAACAGGCCAGGAGAGGGCTTCAGCTCTCTGCAAGCCCAGCTGCCAAGGGCAGTTTTAGGATGAAGGCTGCTTTACCCCTCCCCACACACAGCTGTCAGCCTGTCCTCATCCCTGTATTTCCAGAGCTCCTGAACTGTGCACTGGGCTTTCTCAGTCAGTTTATTATTTAATGCTCACAATAGCCCAGACATTAACTGGCCCATTATATAAATGTGGAAACACAGGCACAGAATAGGGAAATGACTCATCCAAGGCCCCAAATTCTAGGTCTCTGCAAAATTCTCTCTCTTGGTGGAAGGGCAGAGTGAGATCCATCCCCTGCTCCCTCTGGAATTTCAAGAAAACATCCATGCAGACTTTGGAATATCTGGAACCACAGCCAGCCATCTTTTCCCTGTCTCACACCTTGTCGCTGTTCTCCTTGCTCGTGGGGACAACTGACCTGCTAGTTGGAGTGGTCACCACTTCATAAGGACCTGGCCATTGCAGAGGGAGGGGAGCCGTTGAGAACAGGCCTTTCACTCAGAGAGCAGGCACTGGTGAGGCATTGGAGGGTGCTGGAACAGAAAAGGACAGAAGAAGATAAGTGATTCTCTGAGACACTCATCCCCAGGGTGATCTGTGCTGGCAGGAAGGACTAGCCTGGACAGCCCCTCACTAGGCTTGAAGGTGGGAACTGCCACAATGTTGACTGAGGCCATTTTTCTTTCCCCATTTCTTTTTTAAAAAATGTGGCCAAATACATATAACATAACATTTACCATCTTAACAGTTTGTAAGTATATGGTGGCATTTAAGCGTATTGTCTGTGGCATTAAGTACATTCACATTATGGTGCCATCACCACCAGCATCCACCCCCAGGATTCTTTTCATCTTACAAAACTGAAATTCCATACCTAGTAACTCCCCATTCCTCTCCCCTACCCTAGCCCCTGGCAACCATCATTCAACTTTCCGGTCCATGACCTTGACCACTTTATATACATTATAAAAGTAGAATCATACAGTATTTGCCTTTTGTGGCTGGCTTATTTTATTTAGCATGACCTCTTCCAGGTTTATCCATGTCATAACATGTTTCAACTTCTCTTCCTCTTCAAGGGTGAATAATATTTTACTGTATAGATAGACCACATTTTGTTTATCCATTCAGCCTTCAGCGGCCACTTGGGATGTTTCCTATAGTCCCAGCGACTTGGGAGGCTGAGGCAAGAGAATTGCTTAAGCCCAAGAGTTTGAGGTTGCTGTGAGCTGTAAAGCCACGGCACTCTACCAAGGGTGACATGGTGAGACTCTATCTCAAAAAACAAACAAGCAAATTTTCCATTGGATGCTTTAAAATAATTCCCATCTTGCCAGTGAAAATTTTCACCTTGTAGAAACATATTAATCCCAATTTAAGTCCTGATTTGATAACTCCAATACCTGGGTCATTCGTGGGCCAACTCCTATTGTGTTTTTTTTGTTGTTGTTGTTCAATTTCTTTATATACCTGATAACAATTTCAGTGGAACACTGAGCATTGATGTAAAACACTGTAGTGGCTGTGGTGACATTGTCCTCCTGAAGAGGGGGTTTATCGTTTGCTCTGGGAAGCAGCCAGAGTGTAGGAAGATCACCATAGTTCACTAGATCACATAGTTCAAGGTAGGGGTCACTTCTTATGAACAAGGATACTGTCTACCTCTGGTTTGACAATACTTCTAGAATGTTTTCCAGGATTCTGAGTTGAGAACCTGAGATGTTTACTTGGGCTGTTCCTTCTTGGCATGTCTTGAATTCTAGTTTGTTTCTTTTTCTTAGTTCCTTAAGCCCACTCAAAAATAATGTTGGGGAAACTGGGTCTGGATTATTCAGTGACTGATGGACTGATGGACAAAAGCATGAAACCTGAGAACATCAATCACTTGCTAATAGTCACTGCTGACTATATGGCCAGGGCTGAGGATAAAGAAATAGGTGTTTGGTCAAAGTTCTATTGCTCTTTTGCTCTGGGATTTTGAAAGTTGTTCATTGCAGTATTGTAACAGTAAAAAACTGGAGACAGAATTAACTTTTGTCAAGAATGAAATGTTTGCAATGGCCATGGTGTGTGTGTGTGTTATGGAAGCTATTAAATAAAAACACACGTGAGCGCACACAAAAGAGGGGCAAGAAATTCTGTTGCATGAAAAAGTAAGTTGAGGAACAGTAACTCAAACACAACACCATTTATATGACATAAAAATAAACTATAAATTTCTGTATGTACATGAACTTGTGCTGGGGATGGGAGGTCAGTGTTTTATTTACGTCTAGATCAAGACCTGCTCCTGCTTTCGTTGTTCTATTATTTGAGAAATTTAGGACTTAGGAAAGTCCAAACAACAGCATAATAAGCACTTAACAGTTCCATCATGGAGCTGCAACTATTATGTCAATGTTTTTGCTTTGCCTTTTTAAAAGAAGTATATTGTGATACTGTAGCTCCAAGGCACCACGCCGTCACTCTTGCCAGCAGTGTCACTGCAGTGAGTGTGCCGTGCACCTTCCACTTTGGGCATCCACGGAACCTTGAGGGTTCCTTGGACCATACTTTGAAAACACAGATCTAGCCCACTTCTTTCCATGTCATATATGAAGAGACGAGTACAGGGGTAGGATGGGGTTTTGCTCAGAATCTCGGTGTAAATGGCACAGCTGAACTTGGAGCGCCCAATATTTCTGACTCCCTGCCTACACCCTGGACCCACAGTATTTAGTGGCTCTTTATGTCCACATTAGTGGGAAGGATGGGTGCTCTGGAGTTTCCTGCTCCATGTGTGCACAACCCAGTTTTGGCCTCTCAAACGCTGACTCTGAAATCCCAGGAATAGGCTGTGCCTGAAGTTAATGTCAGATACTTCATTAATGTTGGATACTTCATACAGATCACAGGGGTCAGCCCTCAGATGGATCACCTTCCCCCTTCCTGTCCAGGACTGGGATTGGGTCCTGTACCCCAGAGATGTACCACAGGGGAAGATTATCAGTGTCTCCCAGCTGGGGTGGATGCCAAGAATATGGACATAAAGAGCAGATTTGCCTTCCTGCCTTCCAGATGGAGTGTGCTCATTAACCTTAATTACCAAGTGGGCACAAGTTCTGTCCAACTCTGTTCTGAAGTGAGGACACAACACCCAGGAGAGCACACAGCGCTGAACTTGTCTGCAGTTCCCTGGGAGCTCAGCTGCTGACCTTCCCGGCGGCCAGCTCAGTGGTCTTAGCATAACCGCGTCGTCCTTCAGCAGCAAGCCTGCAAGAGCCAAACACTCCATCTGCTATCTTATGGGGATGGCTGGAGGTAGTCGGCTGAGGACCTAGGCATTCTAATTGGGGTGACTGAGTGACTCGTAAAAGAACTGGTCCCTAGGCTGACCCTGCATACTTTCAAAGTGTGCAGATTTAGGGCTGTGTTTTAGTTGGTCCAAGTAGAAAAGCATCCTGCTAAATGCTGCATGAAAGCCTTAGGGAAAATTTAAAATCCAAAGGAACTAGAAACAAGTACTGAGTCAGGGTTTTAGGGAAAAAGCTAGCAACGAGGCAGGCATGACCCAAAGGTTCTACAGATACAGGGTGCGCACCCAAATCTGCCAAATCTGTGCACTACTCCAGGGCTGAGGCAGGGTGCTCAGAGAAAGCTCATAGATTTAAATGCTCTCACCCCATTTTATATGTTTTGCAACATTTCTTAGGAAAGCCCAGCTAATTTGTACTCTCATGCAGATTTGGTAATGTTTACTAAAATGCCAATTTGGGCAATTTTGCGTTTCAAAACCACCCCTTATTTGTATTTGTAAAAGCATTCAAGTAACTAACTAAAACTAAAATTCAATTCTTAAAAAGTTATAGATTAGAAATATGCTTGAAGTGGATAAGAAAAAAATGTCCTTGGCATTTTGGCCACATTTGAGGACTTTCATCACTCTTCACCTGGAGACAGCCCTTCCCTTCCACCTGCTTTTGAGTCTCTTCCAATCGTTTGTTTGCCGCCTTCCCTGTTGTTTTTCTTAATTCTCTGGGGGCAAAGTGGTCCCGAGGCAGAGCCAGGCCTCACATACTCAGTGCACTGGAGTGTAGTGTTAAGTATTATACTAAATTAGGCATTAATTCTAGTGAGTACTGCCTTAGTGCTCTTTAAGTATTTCTCCCCAAAGTGTGAGTAAAACTCTTTCCACCTTTAAACTGCTGGATTCAAACCAGAATGAGCCAGAAGCTGTTCTCCCACCTCCCCAGAGAAAGTCCACGACTCCTAGGCTACTCGAGCTGTCTGACCCATATGTGCAGACCTGGACATGCCTGGGAGTTTGTGTCACCCTGGAGTGGTCCATAGCAAATGACTGACTCCTACAGGACTATCAAAGTCCAGATTACCCCTCCTGAGGGAGGACAAACTAGGAAGGGAGACATTTGCCTTTCAAGTCCTGTGTGTTGGCTCCCTTTCTGCCATGTCCTGTGCTTTCCCTGGACATGCATTTAGAGAGCTGTACAGCCGTGAGCTTTGCTATCTGTTTGGAGGATCTATGAAGGATACAGGCTCAAGGCTGTCCCTGCTTTGCCTCTCTTTCTGTGCTGATAGCTTTCTTTATTTCTGTGTGTCTTCGTCTGTTTAGGATGCCATAATGAAATCCCACAGACAGTGTGGTTTAACAACAGAAATTAGTTATCTTACTGATCTGGAGGCTAGAATTCCCAGCTCAACATCTAGCAGGGTTGGCTTCTCGGGAGGGCTCTCTTGCTGACTTGCAGATTTCTTACTGTGTGCTAGCACAGCCTTTCTTTGGTGTGTGTGTCTTACAAACCCACCAATTCTATTTCATTGGGACCCCACCCTTATGACCTTATTTAGCCTTAATTACCTCTCAAAAGCCCTACTCTAAATGCAGTCACATTGGGGGTTAGGGTTCATGTATTTTGGGAGCGGGGAGAGGGGACACAAATCTGTCCATAGCAATAAATTCCTTAAGGGAAGTCTGGGTCTGACCATGAGCCACTACCCCCCGGAAGCCAGGTCAGGCCTATACCTCTCAGCCTTCTGACAGTAGATGTTGGTGGATGGGAATCTGTGCTTGGCTGGTGCCTGAAGCCACCAACAGTAGGAAGACAGAGGGACTGAAAAAGCACTCCGTTTATCACTGAGGGGACAAACAGTGTGCCACAGGGATGTCATGAATTCACCCAGGATAACAAGATTCAGAGCCTACCACAAGCAGTAATCAATTGGTTCTATAAATAAAAGGGGAGCCATTATGAAAGGTGACCTGTCAGATTCACTTCCCCAAACCAGCACATGGGTTAAGTGGATGGCGTTTGCTCGGGACAGAGATGTCTAGTGTCATAACCCCCCAGCAATCACAGTGTCCTGCAGGCTGCACTTGGTGGCCTCACCCCTCCATTAACAGGCCCATTAGAGGGAGAGGTCGCGTGTATACTGACAGAGGATTAAAACCATGACAACTACCAGGGCTGGAAAGGTGTGTGGAGGGATGGGGTTAATAGGAGATTGTGTTTAGGATTTATTATCTTCCAATATTGAA